ATTTCTAAAAATAAACTAAATAAATTCAGGGCTTTTGGTAGAGCCAAAGCTTAAGCAACCCTTTATTTTTGGAAGAAATACATCACAAATCAGTGAGCTGCCCCCCTTCCATTCCACTTCCTTTTCTGCAAGTGCCTAAAGATGCCCAAGTTTAGATACTTTTGCCGTTAGAACATTCTTTCCTGTTTCAGTGAGTGATCTTTTGATCTTGGAACAAAATGAAATAAGAATAGTAAATTCTGGAAAACACTAACCAAAAGGAAGTATATTGTCTACTCTTTATTATCTTGAAACAATAGGGTATTCACTTTTTCTTCCCCATAACTCAGTTTAACAGTCTTCATTTGAAAGAAACAAGGCAGAATATACTACTAGTCCTTCTTAATAGTTTCGTACTCAATTTGTTTATAGACTATTAGGTCACCATCATCTTCCTTTCAAATATTTTTTGCTATTAACGTCACTGATTACAGAGTAATGAACACATTACTTCAAGTGAATTTCCATTCTGAGTTGCAGAACTTCTACCTTTTTGACTGGTGAGAAACAAAATACACCCTCAAGAAAAGTAAGTCATAAGAAAAACCACTGTATTAGGGCTACCTGCAAAAGAATAGGAAACCTCATAATGTTAACTTTAAGACACAAAGAGAGAACTCTTTATACAGTACTTCCTGTAAATTGGCAGTATTTCCCGACGATGCATCCAAATTGTCCAACAGAGCTTTCCTCAAATAGTTCCCTCACCACTTCTCCTTCACTTGTGGCATGTCACATCAAGGGCACAAGGGCACTGGGGCAATAAAAAGCCTACTGAAAGCACTGTGCAAGTGTTTCTGTTTGCCCATCTCTGTAGGTTCTCTAGGATCATTTCCAAAATGCCACAATTTCCTCAGAAAAATGCCATTATTGGCAGTCTGTTATGCCACAGCCAATATTCCTATCTGCCACCTGTAGATCTAGTTCTAACCCCTGCCAAGCTTCCTGACAATTTAATAAATCTCCGGGGAGTTCAGCCTTTTCATTTTTACTATCCCACTCCTTCACTACCTTCCTTAGAACAGGTACCCAGTATCTAATACTAAATTTGAAGACAGAAACTCCATTTGACTACAAAAGCCTCACATAACTACTAAATCTGTTTTATACAATCAAACCCATCACACCCCACCCAAAATCACCAACACAACATTTTGAACATGTTAAATTTTATTAAAAATATTTAACATTGTACAAATATTCCAATACAGTTATGGTACATGAACACTGTACCAAAAGCACGACTTTTAATAAACTGATGATTAAATGGAAAAGGTCTTGCAAATGTCCCTATTTTGATATTTATATCCATACCAGCAATTTATGTTTGCAGGGGCCTTCAGTCCAATTATAGAAATAGCCTTAGGACATAGTACTTAACATCATAATAGGATTCACTAACGTACAAGTCTACCTATGTTATTGAACAGGCTAGAGAAGTCCTTTTGCCCAACCCTCGTATGTGAGAAATCAAGATAAGCAATGTTCATGGGATCCTGACAAATCTACCATATAAAGTGAGAGCCCTTATTTAAATTTGAGCAACTTAAGTTTTTCCCCAGAATACCTCCTTTTTTGGTTCCATGTAATGTATTTTGTTGTGTTTAAAGCCAACAAATTGGCATCGAATTTTCCTTAACTTACATAAACTCATCAGAATTACATGAATATTTCTATTGCTTACCTTAAAACTTCCTAAGGAGCATGCTATTTAGTGCAAGTTTTACACCCTGATCCTTTCTGTCACTGATACATGCATAAAATGTTACCTTAACACAATCCTGCAATCACTGCAATTCTTAAAGTATTATGTAATTTCATTCTAGCATTGTACAACTAGTCTACAGCAAACTTACAGGTAAGGGTTTATATTCATGACACTGACTAGCATGTTCAACATCTAGGAAATTCTTTCTAGACTGATACCCTCAACCAATAAAGAAGATATAGTGCTATATAAGAATACTGAGGTTCTTCAGACATGAAAATCCATAATTACTTTTAATCTGTGCTTATATCAATAATTATTTTTTATATGGTACGGTCAGAAATGCCTAGTTCCTAAATTTAATTTCAATTTATACCTTACCATCATGAAATCCCCTACAGACTATAAGATGAGGGATTTTAATCTTCAGCAATAATTTAAATACTGACTCTTAATTCTACCAATATCTACTAATTCTATCAGCTATCCTAGGTTTCAGACAAAACACAAGTTGTTCATAGGTTTACATTTCTGCTATGTTCAAGGTCTTAATATTTCAGCTATGTAATTTCTTCTTGACCCAAAGTCATTGTCTCAATATATCTCTAAACTGAGGCCATTATTGTTTGTCAAACCGCTAAAATTTTTTTAACTTTTATTTTACAATGTTAAGATTAGTTTGGAAGATTTTAAAAAATAGTATCTTTGGTGTTTAAACCCTCATTCTATCAACATCTTCCTGTTTTCACTAAAATTAGCATACAATAAATAATCTCTTTAAGATGCATTATATGTTAATCTATCCAACAAAATATAGCAAATATGATACTAGACTGAAATCACAGTTAAAAGAAAGTAAATTTATTGTCTCTCCAACAGACTTTTTAGATTATAAGGTATCTATTTTGCTCACTTAAAATATACCCTGAGTATTTCATACTTGCAGGCCTTTCCTGCTTATCTGCTACCAATTTAAGATTAAGTGAAGTATTATTATATGTTCCTATTAAGAACAGAATAATTTAATATTAAAGTCCTATTTTTCTACAAGGCTGATATAATCGCCCACTTATAGGATATGGGCATTATCCCACACTCAATGCCCCACTACTGATAAAAAAAAAAAAAAAAATAGGAAAAAAAAAGTTCTTACCAACAATTCCACTGGTTATCGTCCCCAGCGAACCCCACCTAGCAAGTCGACATCATGACATGTCAGGTCAGGGCAGCCTCAACCTCGCTTCCCTGATAGTCAGGTGATAAAAGGAAGGAGTTAAAACAGGAAAAGTACACTTGCAGATTTCTGGATAACATCTGAAAATGATTAAAAAAACAAAAAAAAACAAAACAAAACCAGAGCTTCTGGTAACCTCTAAATTAAAAAGTATATACATGTAATTTTAAGAAAAAAAACTTTTCTAGAAAGATTAACAATAATGACTTCAAATTATTTATTACTAAATTACTGAACAATACATTATATATGCAATATTTTTAAAGCTTAGTGTTTGCATTTGAAAATTAAGACCTAATCAACAAACTTCTAATATAAAAGTATACATGTCTGGCTCATGGATTTGTTATTCTGGATTCTCCAGTCAGTCATCCAATCTATTGGTTTCCTCAGAACAACTCCACCTCTAAGTTAACAGAAGCTCCCATTCTTAGAGAAACATAAACACACTTATAAATCCAGTGCACTCTTTCTATAAGGCTTTTTCTTAGCTGCTCACTTAGGAGATGCCACATAATAATTGTTCACATAATAATGAACAATACTATAAAATTAACTTTGGTTAGTTTTAAGAATATTGGACACCTCAGTATAATACAATTATCTTTGAAAAATCAAAATGACAAGTTTATAACATATTTAGAAGCCTTGATAATTGACAAGCAATAGCCTTATAGCAAGTATTTACTGGAAGGGTTTGGTTTTACAAATACACAATTAATAAAACGTAGGTATGATTATATTCAAATGGGCAGAAGGCAAATGATGTAATGAGTTTCAAGAATAATATTATATGGCTTTATGCTAGGAGTGAAATTTTATGTCCTTTCTCTTTGAGAATTTAAAATATATATTTTGTTGCATGCTGACCTTTAAAAAGAATTCATCTCCTAAGTCAGATTTCAAAGTCAAAAGAGAGAAAAATTATCTTCTAATATCAGAAAGCATTGGGCTTTCTTATGCAGAATAACCCCAGTAACTAAAAAAACCTGAAAAACAATTATGCTAAATTCATTTTTTAAAAAAACTACAGAATCATAACTCATTTTCCTTATCTTTTCATCAAATAAACCTGGATTTATTAGAAATCTGGCAACTTATTAGAACTTTTTGCTCTTAAATATTAAAATACCTTCATATAAATATGTACATTTAAGCAACTGCTATAAATGAGTGATCAAATAAAAATTAGTATTCCATTATGGGGAGGGGTATATTTGTATCAGTCTCAGGAGGGTACCTACAAAGAAGAGCTCTACCTCAAATGTATTTCCCAAAACACACTTCACAGTAACAGGCTTATAAATAAAGCCAAATCAATTAGCTTGGGGAACAAAAAAGATGGAAAGGTAGGAGAGCAGGAAACCAAATTCCTTAGAACTTAAAATTTGTACCATTTTTTAAAAAATGCCAATCTAGAATAAAGACCTCCCTCAATTGACATTTTTCAGGTTCATATATAACACTGTTAGATTTATTTATGTGAAAAGTTGAGTTCTGAATCTATTTTCTCTGAATGCTGCTACAGTGATAATTTATAAGACATCAAAGAAAAGCTCTTGAGTTTTAATGTATATAGGATTATGCTTTACAATTTAAAATAGCCACAAAACCTACAAACCAAATATTAGAGGGATACCTCTGTAAATATATTTTTAATTAGTGAGAAGGACAGAGGAGGAGGTGGCCATTTTAAAATTCAAAATATAATTTGCAATTAAAGGAAAGGATTTTGACATGTAACCCAAGTTTTAGTCTAATGTTTTTGCAAGGGTTTATGCTTTGTCAGAATCATTTCTATCCCCATTCTTAATATTCTTTATGACAACTTTGTAGCATGTAACACCTAATTAAGAAATAAAAACAACTCAAATTTGTAGATTTTGTTCTTTCCGGGAAAAAAATCAGGGTTTTACTTAAGTCTAATTAGATGTACAGTTACAACTTCAAATTGTACTTTTAAAGTTTAAAAGCAGCATTTAAAGAATGTTTGGTGTCTTGACTTGCATACATGGGCATAAAAAAAAAAACTCGTTCTGTTTTACCAAAGAAATACCCATGTTAACTCAAAACTATCACACAACAGACCATAATTTATCAGTTTCCAAAAAACTAAAATATCAATGGCCTGTTAAATGACTGTACTGTGTAATGACGGTACTTAGAAAAAGAAATGAAATATATTGACTTTTCTCAGTAACTATTAATTTTCTTATTTGAAATGAAAAGCCATGAAACCCAAAATATGATCTAACCAAGATTACGTGGAATTAAGTGGCTTATGATTTTGAAATCTAATATTCTTATCACAAAGACACCAAACAGGAACAAAACACAAAATAATGGTGTATCCATTTTAATTATTCCCCAATGGCTTCTGATGTTTTTATCACTATAAAAACATTTGAGAACCACGTAAGAATAAGATGGAAGGGAAAATTTAATAGTAATTTGAAAGTGATTCAGACTTCGCTGTACCGTAAAGCTCAGATTCTTTTGTTCCTCTCATTCTCAAGCAAAAAAGTCATTAAAATAAATCAGAATTTCTAAAGGAATAGAGAAACAGATGTTATGTATTGGCCAACAAAAAATTCAGGCATCAGGGATAGCAGATAACTAAAAATAAACGAGGTGTTAACAGAAAGTCAGAGGTATTACTACTGAATATTTTTAAGCCTCTCTTACAAGGCATGAATGTTTCTCAAAGCAAATTTACATAGCAATAAGAAATTATATTCGTTCAGTAACTAAAATAGTAGTCACTATCATGTTTATTAAAACTAAAGTCTGCAGTGCAACTGACGCCACAGTACTAACAGTTTTCTCTGTATGTACATTCACTTATCCAGCAAATAAGGTCTTCAGCCACAAATTAACCCTTACAAAGAATGTGGGTCAAAATAAATTTGCAGTCTGCTTTCCCAGCCACATTTTATTTGTTTTAACGCAAATTATCCAATGCCTACAAAGAATGCTCAAAAGTCTTTGAACCTGTTTTTTTTTTTTTAAATAAAGGATAAAATTTCAAAATTAGAAAAGACTATGAGAGAACACCAATTAATGAAGTGCTAATTGGAATAATACTTGAATTTAGACTAATCCTCAGTCTAATATCCACCATACATGTTGGAATAGACAAGAAATTTTGCATGAATTTGATCACTCACATAGGCAGTTATACTTTGAAAACAATATTCCTTGCAAGGATTACGAATAAAATGATGTTTTAGGACACAATTGAATTTGAAATAGGTAATGTTTTGAATAGATTTTTTAGTTTTATTGAAATCTTACATGAACAAGAAATTGGAAATACAATCACATCAAAGAACAAATTGTCACGGCTTTTGACGTTTAAGCCAAACAAATTTTGTAGGGCAGATTTCAAAAAGTTGTGAAGTTATAACAATTTAAAAACACAGTTAACCTACTTCTAGGAATGCAAAACATACAATCATAGGTTATTTTCAATACAAGAAAACTTAAATTTGTTTGCTTTAATTTCTTAAAACTACTAAGACAAAGCACTAGCTTGTATTTTTATTTACAGCATACTCCATACTCCTATGTAATCTATTCCAAATCCAAAAAAAAGAAACTGTCCAAAACCAAAGGTTCTGCAAAATCATGATTTAACAGTGTGCCCAGCTTGCTTTGAAGCTAAAATGAAGCCTGAAACGATAAAAGCATTGTAATCCCCAGAATAAGGGAACTCTGCAAGCCCAATAATGTCCAGAGCATTTATGAAAAGAGGAAAAATAAAAAGACTTGAGTATATACACAATAGTGATTTCTTCAGCCCAATACAAATGGCAGCAAATTGCTACTTAAAGATGAAACAGTTAAGCCAATTTTTTTTTTTTTTTGAAGAATGTAGATCTAGAGCCAATCGTATCTTGCCAGTATCATTTTCAAGCCCTTAATTGTCTACTTCCACTGTTGCCCATAAGTATCCTGATAAAATTCCTGGTTGTCATTATTGTAACCATAGTTACCAGAATAGTCACCACCTTGCTGAAGCGGCTGCTGAGCGATGGGTTGTGAACCCCAGTTCTGTTGGTTGTTGGTCTGACGACGCTTGGAATCAGGCTGGTTGTACCCATCTGCCTTTCTCTTGCCTCCTACATTGCCCCCACGATTGCCCCGAGATCCACGGGAACCACGGCCTCTCTGCTGTTGTGCAGGACCCCCTCTGCCACCCCTAGAGCCTCTTGGTGGTCCCAAAGGTGCCCCCCTCTGTGAATAGCCAGCTCTACCTCTTGGAGGTGGTGCTCCCCTCCCCCTTGGTGGTGGTGGAGCACCTCGCCCTCCCCTTCCTCCTCCTCTTCCTCTTACTGCATAGCCATCATCATAGCCGTAGTAGGGATCTTCATAGCCTCCACGATAGTCGTGATAATCATAACCATAGTAATCATCATAGTAATCTTCATAGCCATAGTAATCTGGAGGGTAGCCATATCCACCTCTCCCCCCACCACGACCCCGACCTCTAATTGGAGGTGGCATTCGAGGAGGAGGGTGGTAGTAATAATCTTCATACCTAGCAAAGGGAGAAAAGAAAAAACAAATCAGTTTGCTTCAAGACTCCTGATTTTATTTTTCTGATCTCCATTATTGTTATTCCTTATCCAAAGATGTATTTACTAAAATGTAGACTCACGCAGTGCTTCTGGAGGCCTGTCTAGCAGCTTGACGCTCTTTCCTTTTCTTGTCTGGTGGCTTGGCTAAGACTATTTCAATTTCTTCCCCTTCTATTTCTTTGCCATTCATTTCATCCATAGCCTATACAAAATTAGAAAAATTAATTTACTTTATGATATTTTATAATAAAACATAACATACACATCGTTAATATACTTAATAAACAATTTACTTCACAATTATTTTAAATGGCAAAAGGTGAATCTAGCCAGAAAGTTAAACACACACACACACAAACACACACACAGAGAAAATACGTTTCCCTTGACCTAATCTTTTTATATGTAAATTACGTTGAGAACAAAACCAACTTCCTGATATATTTTAAAAGGTAAAATAATTGCCATCTATTGCTTCTCCTTAATTCCAAATAACTAACTCCTTAAAAGATAAGCCAGACTGAAGAAAGAAGCAAATCCATACCAGGGAAAAATGCCAGTATTAATACAAACCAGACAAAGATGAACTTTTCAGGATTAGAATTTTAAAATAAACATGTGGCATTCAATATACAGGTCTTACACTGTTCTTATACAAAAATTTCAAGGATCTGAAGCACAAATGAGGTTACTGAGTGAGATTATCTTTAAAATTCAACAAGATACCAACACAAAAAGCCCAGGTTTCCCTACAATGCTTAACCCAAAATGTACTCTGCCTGAACAGTTAAAAGTACAGAGCCAGAAAAGGCCTGGACTAATGAAGACTCAAGCAATTACACAGAAAGCAGTAATCAAACATTCCATGTTCTTGCCCTTTGTTCATGCTGTTCCACCTAACCACCTCTGCCATTCATCAAAAGGTTCAGAGAGTAAGAAAATGTCGCCTCCTTGTAATTTATTTTTTGTTTCTCTATACCTTTCCCCACTCTGGGCGCACATAATAAAAATGTTCTATTTATAAAGAGCTATCAGTGATTTATTAGTATCTAGAAAAAAAGCTAAACTAGTCCTCAAGACTTCAATTTTCCCTTTTACCACCTCAGCTTTAGGTTTCTTCAGTTAAAGCAACTCAACAAGTTGAAAAAGCTTCCTGGCAAAAATTAAAAAATGAAACATCTACTGTCTGCCCTGACCATCTTGGTGATTCCCAGTTCCTGGACTAGATATTTTATAATTTCATAGGCTTCCTTGGCAAACCATCCTATAAATATCTTCAATTAGGACAACCAGTTATTTAAAACCAATCGAGTCAGGAGGAATATTTGGAAAGCATAAAATTATCAGTTATCTGCATTCTATACCAGTGGAAATTTCAGAAGCCACATATTAACAGTTAAGAGTCTAACAGTATAACAGGTAAGACTCCGTATTTCAAAGCCAGATTATTACTGAGTTTATGATCTTGGACAAGTTATGAATTTTATTAACAATACTGTTCATTAATTAGCTACCATAAATGAGCAAGCCAATTAATTGTAAACTAGTCAGAGATTCTATAAAGCCTGTTTAAAAAGCAGTAGCCTGGGCAAAAAACAAAACCAAAAAAATGCTCAAATTAGAGGTGCAGTACCCCGTCGACCAAATATGCAGAGAAAGAACCAAGCCTGTGTCACTGAGCATTCTGCATCTTCCTAATAACATAAAAAAGATTTTAGTAATATTTTGTCTTCCTTCCCATCCCCTCAAGGAAGGACAGATGAACAAGAAAAAGAAACTGAAAATTTCACCCATTAAAGATGGATCTAAACTGCTGAGCACAGTGGCTCACGCCTGTAATCTCAGCACTTCGGGAGGCTTAGTTGGGCAGATCACGAGGTCAGGAGCTCAAGACCAGCCTGACCAACACAGTGAAACCCCGTCTCTACTAAAAATCCAAAAATTAGCTGGGCATGGTGGCAAGTGCCTGTAATCCCAGCTACTCGGGAGGCTAAGGCAGGAGAATCACTTGAGCCCAGCAGGCAGAGGTTGCAGTAAGCTGAGATCATACCATTGCACTCTAGCCTGGGTGACAGAGCAAGAATCCGTCAAAAAAAAAAGATAGTCCATTGTCAACAGAAAGCAGAGCAGGTTCTGTGTTCCAGATAGTATATCAAAATACTTTTTTCATACTTTCATTATCATCAAAGACTATTAAACACCAGAGCTACCTCTAACAATTACTCAAATCAGTAAAACATAGCCAATGCTATTTTAACTCTAAAATAATTAAAGTAAAACTGATCATACCATCACAATGTACCTACTCAAACAAACACTGTATACTGTGAGAGTTATGTGCACCATTCAGTTTCCTTCATAGGTACACAAACTGAGGTAAACTAAGTAGTTATAATACATTCACTACCTATTTAGTGTTTACAGCAGCTAATTTTTATACCTTGTAATACTTCCAAGGCATCATGCTATCAAATCTTACAAAACAATACAGAGATTAAAAATAGCTTGCCTAAAATCACAAACTCAGTAATAAACTGGCTTTGAAATATGGAGTCTTATCTGTCATACTACTACCACTTTAGAGATTAAATAGAAAGTTCCAGAGTTCAGCAAAAGCTAACGACCAATTTTATTTCAGTTTTTAAAGTTATGTGTTTAGCAAGTTTCGAAAACAAAATTCAAATACCAAGAACCAAAATTCCAAAATTTCTACCTTAACGGCTGCTCCTCTGTCTTCAAAATGAACAAATGCATAATCTTTCAACTTCTTCACTCTTTCAAGTTTTCCAAATTCAGAAAATGACTTTTCCAATATTTCTTCTGTCACCGTAGTAGCCAAATTTCTCACAAACAAAACTTTTACCTAGTAAGCAACAAATAAACAGAACTGTAATTGGCTACTTAATTATACCTGAAAAGTGTTACTTGCTGTCTTCATAGCATAGGCTTTTCCCCTCTAAAACATTAAGTGCTAAAAGTGCTGTTATAGGTAGTATAAGAAACTGCTAGGAAAATTATACTAATAGCAGTCACCAATTTATAAAAATTATTGGTTACTGCCTCCTCCTATGTTGTCATTAAAGCACCTAACGCTGAGTAGAACCTTCAAGGAACCAACATATAATTATTATTACAAGTTAATTAACAAATTTGACATGGTCCCCAAGTCCCCGTCAAAACAAGCTTTTGTTTTTTCCCTCTAAAACCAAGTAACTTTTAAAAGTTCATATGAAAAAATAGATAAGCAAGAATAACCAGGGGAAAAAAAAAGTAAAATTTAGAGACTGGCCCTACTGAATATAAACAAACACAATGCTTAAATCATTAAATCAGGTAGTGTTAATCAGAAAAAAAGATAAAAGACGATCCATGCTTCACACCATAAACCAGGATAAACTCCAAACCGACTGAAAATTTAAATGATAAAAGGGTGGAGGGAAGACTATGAAAGTATCAGAATAAGGATGATTTCCTCATATAACACTGGAGTGGAGATGACCTTATGACTTAAAATCTAGGATACATAATGATATACTCAACTACTAAAAATAAATGACTTCCATATGGCAAAAAATACCACAGGCAAAGACAATAAATATGGAAGAAATATTTGCAACATGTATCACGAACAGCTAATCTCTCTTTTATATCAGAGCACCAGGAAAATAAGAAAAAGCTCAACAACTGAATAGAAAAATAGGCAAATTTCATGAATACATGGTTCACACAAAGAAACACATATGGCTTTTAAAATATAAAGTTCAAACCATGCATAATAAGAGAAGCAAATCATTAATGGCACTGAGACACCATTTGTTAACAGACTGGCAAAGTTCAAAAGTTTGATCATACACTGTTTTGTCAAGAATGAGGAAAACAGTTCTCTTGTATTTTGCTGGTAGAAATGTAAAACAGTGTATGTCCTACAGAGGGTATATGGCAGTATCTTAACAATTACAGATGTATTTACCCATTGGCCTACAATTCTACCCCTAAGAATCTCTCCTACAGATATATCTCAACTTCTATCAACTGACAAGCTTATTCATTACAGCATTTTAAGAGCAAAAGATCAGAAACAATTCAATATCCAGCTGGTTAAATACACTACAGTACATCCACAGAATAGACTACTATGTAGTCATAAAAAATGAAGGAGAGCTCTATGAGCTATAAGAGATTGACAGGATACACTGTTTTTCCATCTCTGAAATAGAGAAACAACTTAATCAATGTGATAAGCAAGCGTTGTGCCATAGTTTGTTAGCAGCGTTTTATAATTTCTTAGTGGTACATATAATAATGGTACATTTCCTTAGAACTGACGAAACAGGATGGTGAATAAAGCAAATGTAGGTCAGTGAATAAGATAGGCTACCACCATTACTACGACTCATGTAAGAATTAAGGAAATAAGAATATATATTCGTACTTGCCTAAGGAAATATTAAAAAGATAAACCAAAAACTACTAAAACTGGATGCCTTGCAGAAGACAAAGGGATTCAGTAGACATAGGCACAGAGGTAGAAAGGAAATTTATCTAGACTTTCTACATAGCTTTTGAACTAAGAAAATGTAGTAGCTAACCAAATAAAAAACTAACATACTGAACAAATTGTTGCTTTAGATAAAGGGCTATCCAATAAGAAGACATTAATTTAAGAAAGAAAAAAACTAACATTTTTCACAAATGCTCCATCCCCTATATTATTCTCAATCTGTCATACTGAGGTCCAGCCTCTATGTTACACAGACTCCCACTGCCTTAGTTGCTTTTTTAAAAAATTCAACATGGACTTTTCTATGATGAAACCATAACATACTATATGAAAATTACTTAGTGAAACTGTGTTTAAAATGTTCAACAGGAAAAAGGGTCCCTTTAAGAGACATAATTTAGGCTTTTAGGTTCTGGTCCATTGTAAACTGATCCAACTTGGCAAAAAAAATCTTCAGTGAATTGTAAATTGATAGTGTGAATAACAGAAGCTTTATTCAAATGGATAAACTTTTCGATTAGAAAACATAATGGGGCTGGGCGCAGTGGCTCACGCCTGTAATCCCAGCACTTTGGGAGTCCAAAGTGTGTAGATCACGAGGTCAAGAGTTCAAGACCAGCCTGGTCAATATGGTGAAACCCCATCTCTGCTAAAAATACAATTGTGGTATGTGCCTGTAGTCTCAGGGGCTTGGGAGGCTGAGGCAGGAGAATCGCTTCAAATGGGGAAATGGAGGTTGCAGTGAACCAAGATCATGCCACTGTACTCTAGCCTAGGTAACAGAGCGAACTCCNAAAAAAAAAAAAAAAAAAAAAAAAATGAGAAGAAACGAAAAGAAAAGAAAAGAATAAAGGAGCTGGGTGTAGTTGCATGCACCTGTAGTCCCAAGCTACTTGGGAGGCTGAAGCAGGAGGAACCTTAAGCCCAGGAGTTTGAGGCTGTGGTGTGCTATGATTGCACATGTGAGCAGCTACTGTACTCCAGCATGGGCAACATAGCAAGGCCCCATTTCCAAAAAAAAAGACAACAATGAAGGGCTCTATAATATTTAATCCCAAGTTTATAGACTCCTTCTTTTCATTCTGAAACCTGTTTTTGATCTAGGAAAAAGGAGTTACTAGAATAAAATCTTGAAGTTTTCTAACCCTAAAAAAAGATTAGGATGAACTTCTATCTGGGTAGTTGCTAAAGGTTATGTGAGAAGTGGCTGGTAAGCAAATCACAAGCTATACTGCAGGGAATTTTATTCCTCTTTTATAATATGTAATACATCTATAATGTTATTTTAAAATATTTTTACAGAAAAAGAAATACAGGCTATACTTAGTTTCTACAGACAGATTCAAAGTTGTAGTGGATCTTAGAGATTGATCCAGCCTCAATAAAATAGATGACATCCATGTTCAGTAGTTTACCCAAAGTCACAGTTGTATTAGAAGAAACAACGGGAATTAATATCAAGCTAGTAAAAAAATAAAAACTCAGAGCTATTTAAATTTTCAATCCCTTTCCTAGACACCCATCTACTCAAGGAATATGAGATAAAAGATACTGAGTAGCATTTCAGAGAGCCTCTCTGGTTCACTCTCAATAGATCTTATCTGCTTAACCCAAAGATGTCATTACCTACAAAGTTTACCATACGAGTATAAATCAGGGTTCTCCTCCAAACTATTCAAGCGAGGGTTTGCCTCCTCAAATTCTGGAATAAAAAGCTTGACTTTTGACTTATCAAAAAGAATCCAACCATTAACTCATGGTCATTCAGAGATGCTGCCTCCCTGTGAAGGGAAGACACAACTAAAATGCTCAAGAACTCATTCTAAGAAGCAGAAATGCAACTCCGATGTGTCCCTTTAATTCCAGGAGTCACCCAAAGGAAAGCTTAAGAACTAGTACTCGTGGCACCACTATTAAGATCTTGGCAATGCAAGTACAGGGATTAGGAGGGAATTGAGGGCCCTCTACAGGACTTGCCATGAATATTTTGCCACTAACAAATAAGAGCAAACATGACAATCCTTTGCCTTTCTTCATGGGGACAATACACTAAGGCAACTTGATCATTTAAAAATAACAACAGGCCGAGTGTGGTGGCTCACACCTGTAATCCCAGCACTTTGGGAGGCCGAGGTGGGCGGATCATGAGGTGGGGAGTTCGAGACCAGCCTGGCTAATATGGTGAAACTCATCTCTACTAAAAATACAAAAATTAGCCGGGCATGGTGGCGGGTACCTGTAATCCCAGGAGTGAGACTGAGGCAGGAGAATCACTTTAACCCAGGTGGAGGTTGCAGTGAGCCGAGATCATGCCACTGAACTCCAGCCTGGGTGACAGAGCAAGACTGTCTCAAAAATAAATGCATACATACACACATACAACAAAAAAGCTTTAAAAAAATGAAAAAATTATCTATAAATCTAAATAAAACATAATTCATGCCCAAGTAATAAAAGTCCTACCTAATATGGTCAATGAAGATGATAATTTATAATCTCCAAAACATTACTTCTCTCTTTACTCAAGACCTTTCTTTTTTTTAACCTCTACCCTTCACAGTGCCTAACACTAAACAAATACCCAGTGTGTATGAAAATATTTAATTAAATAAATTCCATTTCAGTTCCTTTTGCACATTTAATCTGCAGGAAAACGGATGGTTAATGGAAATTCCTGGATACTAAGACAGGCTGTTAACTTTACTGTTAAAGTAGCTCCTTGCCAAACAGTTAAAGTCTAAAGCTACAATTTCTATTTATCATAAAACTCAAAATATTTGAGCTTTATTCTGAATACAAAATTTAAATGATAACCCTACCCCCACCCCAAGCAACTGTATTTACCTTAGCCATGACTTCTGGATCTGGTTCTTCCACAGGGTCAGCCCATTCAACTGTAACTACATTTCCCCATACTTTTACTTTTCCACTCATCAGCCGGCGTCTGGCTTGTGCTGCTGACTTGTGATCCTCATATTCAAGGAAGCAGAACCCCCGATTCTTCTTTTTGTCATCGGGTTGATGATAGAGAATAACGTCCACCAAACCCTCTGTTAAACCAACAGCCAGATATATAAGCCAAAAGCATCCACCACACATCTAGCGATTAGGCAGACCTAAATCCGCTTGCTGACGAGCAAAAAATAAGTGAAGCAGCCTCAAAATGAGTCACTAATTTTCTGGACAACTAGAGACAATTAGACCAACATAATTAGATATGGAGTTCGGGACAGTATTTAATGTTCCTTTTTAATTTTAGGAGTCCTGAAGGTACAGCCACATATAACAAATCTAACTACTGTATTCTGAAATTTAACATGCTACAATGTTTTAGAATGTTTGATATAACATGACTTTATAAAAGTACTAACAAGGATCTGAAAAACAAAATTATTAATATACAGTAAGCCCAAGAGAGCTAACTTTTGACAACTAATCATGGCCAAAAATCTCCTTGAAGGTAACTTAAAAGTTACTATTTTTACCAAGAATGGAAGTGATCGCTAAGTATTAGTGTTCCTCTGGTCTTAGTCCTTTGCCCTGTCTCTCCGTACGTGTTTTTTCTAAATAATGTTCAGCTAGCCCTACTTTTAAATATTACCCATACCTTTATAAATACTTAAGATTTTTTTTCCTAGCCAGACTTCTCTAAGCTTCAGATGTGCCTACGTTCTTACCTGATGTATCCTCTTTGATGTCTTAGACATTGCAAATTTAACAAGTACAAAACCAAACAACCATGGCCAAAATCTGCCTTCCCTACACTTCCTATCTAATAAGCAGTGCCATTCACCTGGTTCTGAAGCCAGAAATAAGACATTCTTGATTCCTTCCTTTGCTTCATCTCTCCTATCCAGTTCCAAACTCATTTACTTCTTTCTACCCCCACCGCTATTACCCTAATCTAATCCTCTAACTGTACTAGTACGACAGCTTCAACTAATTCATCAGCTTCTACTCTTGCCCCTCTCTCCAAGCCCCCATCCACAGAGCAGTAAGAATAATATCCTGTAAACATGAAACAGGTATTATTTCCTGCTTGAGACCTTTAAATACCTTCTCATTATATATACAATAAAAACTCAACTCCTTACATGGCCTATAGAAGCCCTGCCTACTTCATCTCATACAATTCTACTCCTAATTCTACCTTTTAATAACACTGGCCTCCTCAGTTACTGTAATACACTGACTTCTTTCTCGCCTTGGAACCTTGGCATGTGTTGCTGTCTTGGAATACACCTCCTTTTGCTCTTTGTATGCTACATCCTCTTCACCTTTCAGGTGTTGGCTGACATGTCTTCTTAACACAAAAGTCTTACAGAACCATCAAAATAGAGATAGTAGCTATTCTCTTGGAAAATATCCTGTATTTCCTGCTTCAGTGTCTTATCACAATGTCTAAATATTCCTTTAATTTTTATTTTTTATATTCTTGGTCTTATCTTCTTTCCCAGGATATAGGATCTATGAGAGCAAAGAATATGTCTCTTAGTCACCAATGTATCCCAGGCACATAGCACAATGCCAGCATTTAACAGGAACTTCAATAAACACCTGCTGAAAGGATGAGTAAATGACCATGAAGCCAGAAGGAGCCATATATAATAAAGTGATAAGGTTAAAGAACTGTGCCAGTAGGGGTATCTGACCAACACAATACAGCGGGTGGTGGCAGTGGTTACAAAGTGGGACACTAGAAACCAAGAGATCTAAGTACATAGAGTTTCTGGTGACTAGATCCAGAATGTAATCTGGATATGGTAGAGCTGAAGTAAAGGACTAAAGATGAGGTGGTCATAGAAGTAAGCAGGAGTCTAAGGCCCTGGATGGTTCACCAATGTAGATATATTAGGAATAAGTCCATTTAGGGCAGAAGAAGAAGACAGTAAGCCAGAAGTAATCTTTAGATTAATGAAAGGCTGAAATCAGAAGAGCAATGAATGCCAGCTTCAAAGAAAGGGAAAAGATATGTCTGGATGATAAAACTATAAAGAAACAGTGGTTTTTACAAGGGGAGGCAGTGGTCTATAGCAGTGTTTTTAAATCATAGGTAGTATTACATCACAACCAGCGTTTTTTAAAATGAAATAGAATAATACAAAATAAATCATGTGTAATAAAAGTACAGTTTTGTTAAATTGTTTCCGTCATATATGTGTACAGAACTATGATATAAAATCTACTTCTCAATCAATTCCATGGATTTAGAATTGAAAATTTTTAAAAATCTGATCTAGACAACGAAATAGGGAGGGAGTAAGAACTTTCATCTTCTTGGTCCTAAAATACACTGATTGTCAAGGGTAAAAAAAGCATTTACTTGAGGGTTATAGAGCAAAAGCTCCAGCAAAAGCCAAGGTTCAACTAAGACAAAGAAGTGAAGGGGACAGTCCAAGAACTGAAGGATATAAAGGAACTTACTTAAATCCAAACCACTATAAAGCAGAAAGGAAGTAATTTAGACACTGAAGACTTGAATTCTTAATTGAATACATACAACTCCTCAGTTTTTTTGAGCACTTATAAGTAGTACAACACATTTCCCAAAAGAATTTCTAAATACATTTTTGTTTTACCTGTGACTTTACTGAATTCTTCCAGAATGTTTTCTTTAGTCTTATTCTTCGGAATGGATCCAACAAAAAGTCTGTTGTTTGCCACAGAAATGCACACTCCAAGGTGTTTACCAGGGCGAATTTCATAGCTGTCACACTGCAATGAAGAAAAGAACCAGAGACCCCAAAACCACCCCAGCCTCAGGACAACTGATCTTAATCTAAAAAATACAACAATTTAAGGCCAAATGCTCCCTGGCTAATTAACTCACCAAGTTCTCTCATGCTTTCCATAATATGAATGTATACGTTAGACTTCATTGTTATGGTCTCTTGTTTTAGTTTGGTTTTGTTAACCTTCACTGCTCTTCCATATAAAAAGGACTCAGTTATTCGCTTTATTTTTTAAAATATCTTATTTCATATTTTATATATCTGAAAATGTTTTTCTAGAGATTTTTCATAAAAAATAGCTGAGACTGATCACTCAGGGTCCTTAGAAATGTTATTAGATATAGGTAAGCCATAGTCAAAATAACAATATGCAACTATGTTTAATCAATGCAAAAAATAGAAAAATTTCAAATTCTACAGAAGTCACAGAATTCTAAATGTATAAGGTTTTAAATTGTCTACCAAACACAGTACTTTCAAAATTTTATAATATTTTGAAAAATGTTTATTTAAATCACTATAGTGGATTTCCCTCATAAATTTTAGAGGGATTTTTTTAAAAGGATGGAATCTCACTCTGTTGTCCAGGCTGGAGTACAGAAGCATGACCTTGGCTCACTACAACCTGCACCTCCTGGGTTAAAGTGATCCGCCTGCCTCAGCCTCCCAAAGTACTGGGATTACAGGCGTGAGCCACTATGCCTGGCCAATATTAGCTTATTATATTTTAACGTTATTTAATCATTAGTTTACCAAAACATACGATTATTAAAAATAAAATCATCCATGTATTGCCAAAAATGAAAATTTAATATTAAATAAACAAGTCTAAAGGAAAAATTCATAATAAAAACTAAAATCTGGGTCAAGCTAGGAGTAGAACTGATTTAGACACCAGTAATGAAACCAAAGCCTTGATGAAACAGGTTACCCATTCTAGAAAGGCTAGAGCTAGACCTAGTGAGGCTTTCAGCTGTCATGCAGGAGTATGCCAAAAAATAATGACATTGTCATTTTAAGATACTGATATAGCTGTGTCTTAAACACAGTAGGAGTGAAGATACATTTGATTTGCAGAACTTTGTTACTACTACTGCTGGTCTGAAATGAGTACCAAGTGGTTAAAGGCCCTAGAGAAAGGAAATTAATATTAGACTGACTATAAGTAGAAGAGGACAGAAAGATTAAAAACAGAGAAGAATCAAGGGCCAAGAAACATAAAGAACAAAAATACACTTAGAAAATATGAAATAAATTATATGATTAGGCTGTAACAAAAATAAAACAGATTTACAACTATTTTCTGAATTGAATCCTAAAAATCGCTGTCATCCACTATTATGTTCCCTACAGACCATTCCAGCCTTCATTATACTTTAAGAATCCTAAAATTTAACATCAGGAATTGACATCTTTTTGTCTTAAAACCAAAAGACATGCATAAGCCAAATACTCATATGAAATTTCTGATATTAATCAGTCTAATAGATAACTTCTTAAATCAATGGGAGACTTTCTATAAAACATTACTTCTGGGTTATTTTTAGTTCCTTTTTTACTTTTATAGTCAGAAAAAATAAAGCAAAGATCACATATCAACTTAGTATAAAAGCATTCAAATCAACTACTGAAAATAATGTTAACTGCAAACATTTCTGAATTAAAGTTTATTCCCTCAAATAGTGGATAATTATCACATACCAGTTTCACAGCTTCCTGTGCAGCTTCCTTTCCACAGAAGGTGATAAATGCATACCCTCTATTCTGACCAGACAGTGGATCCATCATAAGACGTAGATCCCAAATGGGTCCAGCCTTCTCAAAAAGGGGCACCAACTCATCCTCATATAAATCTCTTGGTATTTTACCTACAAACACCTAAAATAAAACCCCCTTATTAGAATCCAACAAAAGCACTTGATTTTAGAGCCATAAAGTCTATTGCCTTTTTTTTTTTTTAGAAGATGAGGGCAGAAGATGGTTAAGAAAGAATGGAACAATTTGAAACTTACAGTTGACTTGCAGAGCTAATCCTAATTTTTATTATAATGACCTTAGGGTTATCAAAGAACAACAGTCTCTTGAAAAATGGAAACTAAGAGGGTAAAATTATATTAACTCTAAATTTTAAATTTTTATAGATTAACCTTTTCTCATAAAAACAGAATAAAGGAGGCCACACGCAGCAGTTCACATCTGTAATCCTAGCACTTTGAGAGGCCAAGGAGGGTGGATCACCTGAGTCCAGGAGTTCAAAACCACCCTGGGCAACATGGCAAAACTCCATTTCTGTAATTTAAATTTAAAAATATAATTTATAGGGCCGGGCGCGGTGGCTCAAGCCTGTAATCCCAGCACTTTGGGAGGCCGAGGCGGGTGGATCACGAGGTCAAGAGATC